TGAAACACAGATAGACATTCTTCTGGTATTCCCTGCTTTCAGCCAAGATCCATCTAACATCAGCAACGATATCCCTAGTACCACGACCCCTTCTAAGCCCAGCCTGGACTTCCGGCATGGATAAAAAAAAAAGATTACGTCCTCGAAAATTCCATGGAGGAGATGTACTCTCTCTCGTTTATAGATTCGCTATGAAGTCGCCTCTGACTCGATGGCACTTAACATCAACAACAACAAAGAGCATGTCAGGGAGCTCTGGTTGGCCTAGTGGAAGGAAGCTGCACTGCAATAAAAAAAGTACAGTACAAATCTTCCAGCTGCTCCTTGGGATGATGGGCAACCTCCTAGCGTGTGATTAATAGAAACCCACTGGAGGGTCAGCTATGAGCTGGTTCTCAATGGCACAACAGTCCTCAAAAATGAATACAGAGCAGTAATAAAATACAAAGCTTTGTGCAGTTTCACTTAGTTTAGGCATGAATCTAATTTTTCACACAGTGGCTGTGTAGGTAAAGCAAGGCAAGTACCATTAAGGAAGCAAATGGTTCTAGAGCACAGGTGTGCTGCTTGAAAGCAGCAAAGGCCAAGGCAAATAATGCCCTTAGCCATGTAACATTTTTTTTTCTATAATTATATTTTATTAATTTTCATAAACATTTACAGAGATTTGGGGCTTCCACTCATTCCTTGTTGCACTATTCTCTCTACCCTCCTCCCAGTTTGTTCTTGTCCAAACGCCACAGTGCTTGTCAAAGCCAGTTCTGATTAGCCATGTAACATTTTATCAACAAGATATCTGAAATAGATGACTCTTCCCTTAGTGAATTGATTTTCATGATGCTAAAATTTTTGGCTTACCAATTTGTAAAATATAGCTTAAAAAATAAAGCTGATAACTGTAAACACTAGTATCAGTGGGTATTAATAAGATCTGTTTAACCGAAACATTCTGTACCCAGCTATGCCTTCCTGAACCTGGATTTACATTAATTTTAAACTTGCTAATATGCTAAATAGGAGAACAAACACAGCAACATAACAGCACTTTGTGAATGCAAACTGTTTTATACCCCAAATCAGCCTTATCAGCAGTCTTTAGAGAAACAGGAGTACAAAATATGGGACAAAGTTTGTTTCCTTCCCTCCCAGAATCAAAGCAACCCTAGCAACTGGAAGCATCTTGGAAGTCACTTGTTAAGTGCCATCTAATCATAGATGACTCATCACGACCCTATGAACAAAAAAAGATCTGATGAACACATTATCATTTTTGTTGTTTCTCCATGTTCAGAGGCAAACTTTTCCAGAAGTGGATGCCACTCCTGGTTTCAAGCTTGTTTTAATCAGGAAGCTCCACCAAACACTGTCCACCATGGATAACCATTCTCACATTTTACACACTAGTGTCACCATGTTCAGCTTCCCAGCAACCACGAGTTACCTCTGAACAACAAATGGACAGACCAGTGCTATGCCACTTAGAAGAATGACCAAAAACAATTAAAAGTCACTTAGCAATATGGAATTTTATTTTAACAAAAGCAGGAGTACTTCTGATTTACAAATATTCTTGTGTTGAATGTGCCTAAACACTGGTTTATGTAGCTCTAGTACAGTGTGTGTTTGTGTGGGAAATCTTTAAAAAGATCTCAGTAAAACAATTACACTAGTAGTGTTTGCGATCAATTGAATACTACTACTATTCAAAGCCTTTACTGCATAACTCTACAGTTACAGCAATACATCGCTCGCTACACCTATTTCACTTGAAAGTCAACACCGAGAAAATCCTGTTAACAGGTCAGCGCAATAATCTGCTCTTGATCTAGGAACCCTGGCATTGAAAGCGTGAATAACACAAGGTAATGATGTCACCAAGGGATGATAAGAATAGAACCCAAATCCCCTGACTCTAAAGCTTCTGTTTTTCCCCTATTGTGCTCCTTTCTTACTCTTCTGAGCGCATCAAGTGTAAAGGGTTGCAGGAAGGAGTGGTCACAGATGAGCGAAGTACGCGAGGTGAATGCGGCACTGACGGGTCGAAGGCATCTTCACCTCTTGGCACTTTCCTTTTGTTTTGCCCGAGGAAGATGAAAGCGGCAGCAATCACAAGCCCGTGGGACCAAGAACTGGAACTAGGTACTGCCTATTGTGGTAACTCTCCCTCCACCCCCCATCCTAGGCCCTTTTCACCTTTCCCTTTTCGGCCCAACCCCTAAAGCGATCTCCATCTGTCTCCATTTCCAGGACCCCTTCCTGCAGGGTCTCCTCTTTGCACATTATTGCTAAGTGTCTCTCCTAATAAAGAGGCTGCGGTGCTGCGTTGGCCAGCCCTGCGGAAGGAAAGGCTCTAGGGCATCCGTGCGCCACACGCGTTTTCTCCAGAAAACAACGGGCAATCGAGCCGTTATATAAATGTGCTTCAACTGCTAGGAACTTAAAAAAGAGGTGGGAACGTGGGCGTCTATCAAGCCTGCTCTTTGTAGCTCGTTAGGACAAAGCAAAAATATAAGACAATAAGAACCCCAATCTTTTCCTTTAGCAGGGAAGCTTCTAATACAGCTAAACCATCCCCTGGGCAACCTCCCACTGAGACACTTTTCCTGAACAACAGCTTTTACACTTTGCCGAAGACCGCTGGAGACAAGTCGCTCGCGGACCCTGGGGGCTTCTAAACCGTTACTCCGCCCGCCGGGGTGGGGCCAGCCCAACGGCCAAGCCTGCGCAGTAGGCCGGCCGACTCCAGGGTCCCGGAGACTACAAGTCCCAGAAGGCCACGCTCTGCAGGGGCGGGATTCCGCCTTACCTGACGCGAGCTCGTTCCTCCGGTACCACCCCTTCCCCCGATGCCATTGGTCCCCTTGTCACAAAGGCTACTTTCTTTTGAAGCACATGAGGCGCCCTCTTAGCAACCTCACCAGGAAAGCAGTTCGCGTATTCGCTTCGTCTTGCCTTTGCCCAAATTGTGCAGAGAGGGCTAGGAAGGAGAGAGAACGTAGTCCTCTGAAGCCGAAGCCGGGCAACTTGGTCGCACTTCCGCCTTCCGGGTCCGGAAGGGAGCGCGCATGCGTCTCCTGCGACTCCGGCGCGATTGACTTCCGCTCCCACTGTGCTCTGCGAGCCGAATCATGGATCACACTGGTAAGGAGGCGGAGGCAGTGGGGGTCCCGGTTCCATGCCCCCTTGGCCGGCCTGGGGCCGGTCGTCCGGCGGGCTTAGCGGGGTTACGCTCGCCCCAAAGCACTAGGGGGTGGCGGTGGAAAAGAAATCCCACGCACTTCCTGTGCACTCCAGGGGCCTGGTACTTCCTGGCCTACCCTCCGGTGCGGCAGCTCCAGCCTCATTACCGGCAAGAGCCGCTTCTGCCCGGGCTTGACGGAGCTCCGCGCGGGGCGGGCGGGCCTCGCGGGAAGGGCAGAGCGCTGGCTTCCCGACCTCGTCCCCCTTATCCCGGGTGCCGTCCTGCGTCGGAGGACTGGCGTGTCGATTCCCGTTTCTTAGTGGGGAAGCCGCCGCCTCCTGCCCTCTTGGCTTGGGAGTGGATGAGTGAGAGTGGGCTGGAGACTTCCTGCTAGTGCAGACTTTGGGCGGGCGCTGCGGTGGGCACCTCCCGTAGTTATGGACGCTCTGGTTTTCCTGGGCTCGAGTAGGAGAAAGGAAATCAGATGAAGCTTTCGGAATAATGTTGCGGCTCCAAATTATCGGTCTCGTAAAATGAACACGGGCTTGTGGCGTGGAGAAACGAGTTAAAAGTGGATGCCAGGATAGTAGAAAATACTCCAGGAGGGAATTGCGGCACAGCTGGAGAGAGAGAAAGGTGTCCCTTGGTTTCGTGAAGATGAATGGAGGTGAACCTAGTCAGTGAATATTTTGGTGCTAGAGCTCAGGAACATGCTGATGGATTGGCAGAAAGAGAAATGCTGAAGTTGTTGGTTTGAAAAGCTGGTTAGATGTATTGTTGCTGTTAGATTCTATTGCGTTAGCTCCTATTCTAGTGATCCTGTGCACAATAGGATAAAGCCCTGTGCCATCCTACTAATCTCTGCTATGCTTAATAAGCCAGTTGTTGGTTGGAATCATTGGTAGTGCGCATCATTGAGTTGGGGGGAGCGGGGGACTTAAGAGAAAAATAGATATTTTTAAGAGTAGAGATGGGACGTGGAAACCTAGAAACGCAAATTTGATTTCAGATTTATACTGAGGCGTACAGGTGTCAGGTGTCTTGGAGACGTACAGTAAATAGATGTGATCACTCGAGGAGAATAAATATAGAAGGTTGTCGAGAACCAGGCGCCACGAGAATTCAGGCTCAGTGTTTATACAGTAGTTCCTAGAGCTGAAACTCAGCAGTCTTTGAAGTTGGGTAGACATTGAGCATGAGCAAAAAATTACTTGTTTGTGTAATTAGAAATGGAATTAGAATCCAGTCGCTTGCACAAGTTGGAGAGTGTTCTGTTAGAAAGTTGTAAGGATATGTTTACTGTAAGTATACAAAAAATACAGCTTTGATCACAGAATTAAAAATGACTTGCTGCTCAAATCTCTGCATAACATTAGCATCTATTTTAGGTAATTTCTTTGTGGAGCCAGTGAGGCAGTGCAAGTTAACTGAAGACACCACTGGTAGTGCATCTCCAAAGAATAACAGTAATATCAAAAGATTAAGAGAATCACTCGTGAAGGTTAATGAAGCGTTTGATTATATAAAAATGGCCCATCTAATGAATATGCTGCATAAAGTAAATGTAAATGATACAGAAATTTGCTAGGAAAATGACTCCAAGAAACACTCATTTAAGATGGGATTCATCATTCTAAAAATCAGCCCTTAGTTGTAGTTGTCAGTTAAAGTTTCTAAAATAATTATTGGTTAATCTTCTCAATATTTTAAAGCTCTACATATCTTTTTAGAGTAGATAATAATAGATAATAGGTAGCTTGTTTTTAGTTAATTTCCTGAGGTCTATTTAGTTCCAAATGTTGTGTTTAGTTGGTGTATTTTAGAGGAAATCGTTCTCCATGATTGAAACATTAACATGTTGCAGTATGATGTGATTCTTAAAAACAACGGCTCCTCTAAGCAAACCAGGTCTTGGCCATAGGAAGTTCTGGTGGCCTAGTGGTAGGACGCTACAATCCTGAAGGCACGCAGTTTGAATCTACCAGCTACTCCACTGAAGAAAGATGAGCTGTTTTCCTGGGCAATTAAGTGCCTCTGAAAACTCACTAGAGGATCAACTATCAATGGTACTCAACAACAATAACAATACTTGGTTCTGGTGACATCAGCCATGAGGAGTTGTATTGTTAACCCAAAGGCAGTGCCGCTGGTGGTTGGAAGCCACCAGTCAGTCAGTCACACCTCAGGAGGAAGATGGACATCCTCTTCCCATGTGATTTACTGCCTCCTTCAGTTCTGACTCAGCCTTAATGAGTTTGAAGTGGTGTTTTATTTATTTATTTATTTATATTTATTTCTTTGTTGTTGTTAAGTGCCATCGAGTTGTAGACTCATAGCAACCCTATGAACGGAAGACCTGAACACTTGTATAACTTTGATCGTTGCTCCAAGTTCACAGAGTTTCTGAGGCAAGCTGTTTCAGAACTGGATGCCACTTCTGCTTCCAAGCTTGTTTTAACTGGGAAGCTCCACCAAACACCGTCCACCATGGGTAACCATTACCACGTTTGGCACCTGAGTGTCACAGTGTTTAGCATCACAGCAGGCACAAGTTACCTCTGTACAGCAGTGTACAGACCAGTGCTATACCACTTAGAAGAATGTTTGACAAAAACCAATTTAAACCAGTCCTGAGGGCTGCAGATTAAAATCATCCACCTTCGGCTTGATAGCATAACTTTATGTCAGCTAGGCCAACGTAGCTCTCTCTGTGTTGTCATTGTTATTGTTGTTAAGTGCCATCAAGTCATAGACGACTCATAGCGATCCTATGAACAGAAAAGACCTGATGAACACTTATATAACTTTGGTCATTTCTCCATGTTCATAGTTTCCAGAGCCAAGCCATTTTGGAAGTGGAAGCTACTCCTCCTTCCAAGCTTGTTTAAATCAGGAAGCTCTACCAAACACTATCCACCATGGGTAACCATTCTCACATTTGGCACATGAGTGTCACGGTGTTTAGCATCATAGCAACCACGAGTTACCTCTGTACAGCAACGCACAGGCCAGTGTATGTGACGTGTGTGTGTTTGTATAGTGCATCTGATTTTGCAATCACTTGTTATGCATCAGAGAGTTAGACAGTGACTAGGGAGGGTAGGAGGAGAATTGATGCCTTTGAGCTGTGATGCTGGAGAAGAGTATTGAGGGTACCATGGACTGCTAAGAAAACAAACATTCATCCTGCAGTGGGCTAAACCAGGCTGCTCTTTGGAGGCAAGGATTCTGGGGCTTCGTCTGACATACTTTGGACATGTTGTAAGAAGGGACTGGTCCTTGGAGAGAGACATCATGTTTGGGAGGGTGGAGGGACAGCGCAGGAGGGGAAGACCCTCTAGGAGGTGGATTGATTCAGTGACTGGGGTAACTGTGATGGGTATGTTGGAGGCAGTGTGATTGGCACAAGATAGAACAGGGTTTAGGGCTGTTGGTACATAGGGTCACTATGAGTCGCAAGTGATTCGACGGCACAAAGCAACAACATCTGTGTATGTATATATACATATACATAGACATATACATTTTATACTGGTTTACTTACAGAGTTCATATAAATTTTTTTTCACACCAGATCTTTTTTTTTTTTTCCATTTATGAGCTTTTAGTCTACAAGGCCAGAGGCTTTTGAAATTAGTGTTAGGCAGTACAAGCCTCAGTACTTTAGGGTGGGTGTGCTCAATGTGATGTGAAAATGCTTTGCAGTGGTAGTAATCTTATTATTTACAAAGATAAAATTTCTGGAAGTTCTGTTATTATCTGAAAGATAGCATTAGACTGATGACTGTCTACAATGTATTCCTTTTTTAAAATCCATTGGAAGGTCAGAGTCTGTAAGTAAGAAAAAAAGGGTGAAAGTGAGTGGAATACTAGAATCATCTTGTTAGTACATTTACTGATGTGTTAAAAGTTACTCAGGGTATTTGAACTTATCCCATCAAAATTTGTCAACAACAACAAAATTTTTGTCAACAGAAAGCTGTTTATGTACAGTCCCTTTTCCTATTAATTTTTTGAGCACTAGTTATAAAAAACGGTAGAAAGTAGTGAGGCCCGTTACTAAATTATTAAGGACCTGTTTTGAATTTTGTTGCACACACTGTTCAGAAAGAATAAAATGAATTTTTATTTTACATGTATCTGTAATACTGGTTTTCTTACAGATCATACATACTAGCTTAGCGTGGATGATTGTACTTTCAGTCTTAATTGTGCTATTTCCTGCAGGAGCAGGTTCACAGCCTTACTAACCTTGTTTGTAAGACTGCAGTTTTAAAAATTGTTTGTGTTTACTATTTTAAGGCACTTTTCTTTTCTGTCTTTGAAAAGTCAGGTAGAGCGGACTCTTTTTCTGTATTATAATATTTTCCTATAGTTGAGTTGATTATGTCTTATAAACATGTATTTGGGGAAAGGGTGGCTTCTGAACCTTTAAATGGAATCAGTTCTATGACATCGTTCTAATGCTCATGGGACATGGATGAATATTTTATAGATAAAACATACAAAAAAACAACTTATTGCCGGCAAGTCAACTGACTCATAGCTAACCATTTACTGGGTTTCATGGCTGTACATTTTAGGTGAAGAGACTGCTTATCTTTCTCCCTTGGAGTCACCATTTATACTAAAATGTTCATTGTTTATGCATAGTTGAGTGTACAGAAACCTTGTATCTTCCTAAGCTATAATTTTGTTTTACAGTGCTAAGTGGAACTTCCTTGCATATATATCTCTAGAAATATTGTAGCAAAAATAAGACTGCATATTTCTAGTACTAACCAGTATTGGAGTTTTTACTATATTGAGTGGATTGTAGAAAAACTTTTTCTTTTTGAAGCTTTTTAAATAATTTCTTTAAAAATAACTACACTTAATTCCATCATTGTTTTGCATTTCCAGTTGTATTGATTATCCTGATGCAAATTTAGTGTATTTATCAAGGTACCTGCCTTACATGCTTGGTGACTGGACAAGGAGATTGCTGTTGTTAGGTGCTGTTTAATGGTTCCAGTGTGCAACAGAAGCGACCATCTGTACAACAGCGCACGGCCTGGTTCTGTGCCAGCCTCACAGTTATTGCTGTGTTTGAGCCTGTTGTTGCAGCCATAGTCCTTCACGATGAGAGGCGCCTTTCTTTCTCCCCTGACCAACCTTAATGTGTGTCTCCAGGGACTAGTCCCTTCTGTCAACATGTCCAGACTACATGAGGTATACAGTCTTCCCAGCCTTGCTTCTAAGGAGCATTCTGGCTATACTTAGACATAACAACAGTTTGCTTTCTTCTGTTTTTCACTGTTGCTTTTTGTGTTTTGTTGAGTGGTGAGTTTTGTTTTTTTTTAAAATTAAAATCTCAGCTGCTTCAAGACAGATTTTTATTGTGAGTTCTTGACAGTTTCCTACAAGTAGAAACTTCTCTGGAATTCTATAGAAAATTTCTTTTTTACCTGTCTGAGGAGCAATTCTGCATTTTCTTTTCCCTTCTTTAGGGTGTTTAGGGGGCATTAAGGAGCTGCACTGGTAATCCAAGTTGATGCCTCTGCCAGTTTAACTCCACCATTGGCTCTGCAAGAGAAAGATGTGAAATCTCCTCTCGTGTGATTTACAGCCTCTGAAAAACCTAGAGGGTCAGCTAGGAGTCAGTTCTGACGCAACGGCCCTGAGATGGTGTCTCTTACAAAGGGTAAAGAAGCATCGCTCTAAGGGATTATCTCTTAGCTTGTATAATTAGCATAGTTAAATCAGAATATATATTTTCAGCTCTTGATAATGTTGGGAATGTTACTTTTCTGTCTCTGGTAGAATAATTTTCAAAAAGCACAACTGTAGGAGCTTTGGTGGCCTAGTGGCAAGAAGCTGCATTGCAATACCAGAGGTACGCCGTTCAAATCCACCAGATGCTTTGCTGGAGAAGGAGGGGCAATCTCCTCCTGTCAGTCATTTGACGGTACAAACAAAGCACAACTGAACACAAAATGACGACCTTTTTCTTTCTCTTTTAAATGCAGATAATGAGTTACAAGGCACTAACAGTTCTGGATCGTTGGGTGGTCTTGATGTTCGAAGACGAATTCCTATAAAGCTCATCTCCAAGCAAGCGAACAAAGCCAAAACTGCACCTCGAACTGCGAGGACTGTCAATAGGATGCCTGCGAAGGCCTCGGCTGGTGAGGAAGGTAACTTGTTTAACAAGCCCAACAGTCTTTCTGTTGTATCAGGTCCAACTGAATAGCCTATGTGATCTTACTTGCTTTTAGTTACATTTTAAAATTTGATAGCTGGTCTATTTTCGATACTGTTCATCCTCTTCCCGTTTTATTTGACCTGTCATTTTGGCACATCACGTTTTTCTCTCCTTTGTAGGAATATTCTGTGTGGTGGAGTTAGAACCCATAGCTGATCCTCCAGCAGGTTTTCAGAAGCAGTTAATCTCAGGGGAAGAGATTGCTCATCCTTCTCCCATGAACCACCATGTACTTTTAATTAGCAGCTCACTTTCTTACTGCCAAGTCACCAGAGCTCCCTTTTTTGGTTCTTTTCAGAATAATTTTGTTTCAGTTTCTTTTTGCTGATTTTTTTAAGGTATAAACAGTTTTCATAGGCCAATAGCAATTAATTATGTACAATGTATATGAATTTTGTATAAAACACAACTATAGGAGGTGGAGGTAATAAAAAAAAAAGGAAAAATACCCCACCACATGCGTGAACAAAACACAGTGTACATGCATTTAGCCACAGTGCATATGAATGCATGCAAATCAATAACAATATGAAAAAATATAAAGGGCTCCTTAGAAAGACGTAACATTGAGAATGAATTTTCCCTGCAGTATAGTCTTCCCCTTAGATTCTGTGTTTTGTCACAGTTAACTAAATGACAACAAAACAATGAGTAACTCATTGTTACCTATCAGTTCTGACTCATAACTAGTCTGTAAGACAGAGTAGACCTGCACATTAAGAGTTGCCAAAACGGTGAGTCTTTGTGAAAAGAACCTGACTCATGGTGCTGTATTTAAATCAGTGGCATTTTACTTAGCTGCAAAATTAATTACCTGCTCCATTAGAGCTCCTTTTGTAAGTAATATTCCCATTTAAATGCTGGGCACAAGCATATGTCCTGCTTCTTGTGCTCAGTGAACTATGAGGGAGTTACTCAGCTTGCCCAGGAAATAAAAATATGTGTAACATATATGTTAGTTATATAAAAATAAGGTAATCTTTGTTAAAATTTTTCTTTACGGAAATACTTCTTACTTGTTGTTGTTGTTATGTGCCGTCGAGTCACTTGCGACTCATAGCGACCCTATGTACAGCAGCCCTAAACTCCGCTCTGTCCTTTGCCAATCGCACTTCTCTGACACTCCCATCCCAATTATCCCAGTCACTGAATCAATCCACCTCATAGAGGGCCTTCCTCTCCTGCGCTGTCCCTC